ACATATCCAATTGATGGGACTTTGTGTTAATGTAAAATGTATGTGAGTTTCGATTGTGTTTTCTACTAATTGTGTCCTCCCTCTATCCACTTGCCTTGTTTGTGGCAATGAACTAGGATTATACATCCAGGTATGTTTTATTTCCACCAGATTGACACATAATGTTCTGTAATTGTCTTTGTGACTTTATTGTCACAAATATAAATTTATATTCTACAGTCTAAATGAATGTTGTGTTTTAACAATTCCCATGTTTTGCTCTTAAACCTTACATTACCTACTGATGTTCTGATTTATTTACTGTCTGACAAACTTTCTAAATGTTGAAGCAAACAATTGAACGCAGGCCGATCTGATTTTAAAAACCTCTTAATCATTTTACAACAACTTTAGCTTTTTTTGGTTGGGAAATAAATGATGTCTCATGATTTAATTCATTTTTGTAGTACATATTTTATTTCAATCTGAACTTAAAAATGAAAAGCAAATGAAAAGCATATCTGTACAATTTCAAATTATAGTGATGCCTTTGGACAAATTGTACATATTAGAAGAACACGATATCAGATAAATGTATGCTTTGGCAGGTTTTAAAGCTCCATGTGAATATCTAGTGAAGGAAGTGATTTAAGATACAGATTACCTTATTTACTGAATGTTAGTACCGTATATGACAGTTTATTGTGAATGAATCTAAACCCTGTTTTATAAAATTATTTTATGTAAGTGTGCAAAACTATCCCACTAACAAAATGAGATTGTTTTGGCTTTTAATATACGACTCTAACATATTGCTTGCCACAATACGAATAAAAAACAATAAAATCTACAGTATTTACAATTTTTCATAAAAAAAACAGCAATGTCATGTTACATTTCTAAATTTCCTGTCCTTTTTCCATACTAAGAACTCCCTCTCTCTCCTCCCATTTGCCTGGCATGCCAATATCTTGAAAGCAGACTCTGCCAAGTAATACTACTGACCTCCCGCTCTAGTGTATAGTGCTGAGAAGAAGATGAAGATATATCCCTGGGAAGGAGCTATAGACAGCCGTAAATTGTGCAATATAAAACACTGTATCATGGCTTCCTGATACACAATTTTACAAATTTGATACAAAATTAAAAAATAAATAAAAAGAAGTCTTAAAAGTCTGTGTGATTTTGTATTTGTTTTATATATAAACACTTTTCTGGGCTTGTGAAATACAGTACATTCGTCTTTATAAATGCACTTCTGCATTGTTTTCCCTTGTGTCCTCTTGTCTGGACTTTGTTAGTTCCTTAGAGGATCTTGATTAGTTGTATAAGGTCCCCTTGTATGTTCTCCATTTAGGACTCAAAAGGCTCAGTTCTTTCAGCCTTTCATTGTCAAACATTTCCTTAAACCCTGATATGCATCTGGTTGCTTTTCTCTAGACTAATTCTTGAGCAGCAACATCTTTTCTGTAAAGATATGACAAAAATGTACACAGTGTTCTAAATGAGTAGTAGTGTGTACAATTTGAACATAACTTCCCTTAACTTGAAGTGTACACTTTTTATGAGATACTGTAAACTCTAGCATTTTGTTTGCCCTACCCTAATCTGTATTCATTGTTTCCTGTCAGTAAAATATAAACAAGGTCTTGATCTAAATATAATCAAGTAACCTCTTCTTGCTGAGTGTTTCCCATTTTGTATGTATAATTTATGTTCACCACCTGCATGCAAAACCCTGCATATGTGTACATTAAGCATTATTTTCCAGGTGATTGCCCATTTCTCAACATGATAGAAGCCCATTGCACAAAACCACATGAAACCTAACTACTTTAATAAGGAAGTAAAGCAACAAGTTTCAAAGTTAATGCATGGATCTTGTCATTACTGTGATCCCAACAACATTGAAATATTGTAGTATTAGCTCAATAGAAAATTGAAATAATATAATATACAGCACAGAATTGCACTAGAGCATTATTATATTGAAAAACAACTATTATTGTGATACAATGTCCTGACTATTTGTGGTTGTAATTGCTACCAAGTAATTTTCATGAGAAAAGTAAACCTTAAACTGATGGAAAAACACCCACTGGCCTTTTCTTGAAGGTCAATACATTTTTAATCAATATGTTATTCTGAATCATTCCAATAGGATAGGCAATTTGATCCCAGGTTAAATAAGGACTTTGGTCTGTTTTTCATAGGTGTAACAGAAAGTCTCTATTACAGTATTTAATAAAAGAACAATCTATCATTGACTTTTACCTAAAACATTTTTTAATTCACAATAAGGTCAGAATCAAAGTTTCTTTGCGCTTGTCATAATAGTTAGCATATGCATGTGTCAAACATTAATTAAGGAATGAAATGTTGCCACCAGTCCATCTTTCAGTCTCACCTTGTATTTTATGTTGTGATTTATACTGCATAACACTTGTAAACATTTCAATAAACCTTACCATTATCAAATTAATTCACTGGAAATTATACTCTACCGTTGGTGGGACATCGATCTGTGAGTAAGGATGGCACGGTAGCCTGTTGGTTTGCATTGCTATATCACAACATTTGGGTTCTGAGTTCAATTCTAACCTCCTGTGTGGAGTCTTTATGTTATCTGCTTTCCACCAGGTGCCCTGGTTTCCTTCCTTAGTCCAATTATAAGTCTAGTTTAATTAGCGTCTCTAAACAGTGCCCCACAATGGATTAGCATCCTGTTCCAGATGTATCCTGCATGAAACCAATTTTCCACTAAGTAAAGCTCACTGTGACCCTGCATTTGACTACTAAGCAGTTAATGAAAATGGATGTGTTCTTCTTTGTCTCACAACGAAAATTGTTCTAGGCTGGTTTGAATAGGAAAATGAGTTACTTGGGCCAGGACTTCACAGAGTCCTCAAACATTGTGTCTTTGTGTACATGTGACAAAGTTCTAAATAGTTCTTGCACTTTCACTTGTAAACATTTATAAATTGAAATATAAAAATATATTCAGTAGCCTGTTTTGTTATGTTAATAAATGTCTGTGGATATGTCATCCTTTAGATATTAATAATTAACTGTTTTGAACCAAAGAAAGTGTTGATCTATAGTCAAGCGAATGTATTTCAGCACCAAGGACAGCAACTCATGTCTTCTACACTATATTGTCCTGGATTCAGTGTTTGCATAAAAGCCTATGCTGTCAGTAAAAACAGTGATATTCGTTCTCCTATAAATTAAAAAAGTGTCAGCGTTGGTGACAAACGAATGTGGAGGGAGTATAATTTGAAGGAATAATACGAAGGTTAGCAGATCTGTTTCTGACCAGCATTGGTCAGTTCTGAAAAATGCCTTTTTCTAAGAGGTTAAAAAAATAATGCTATACATTGTGAAATATATATTATCTCATTGATAATAAATTAACAATAAGCTACAAGTTAGAGAGCAAAACAAAAGTACTTCTAAAAGTACTTCCCCATGTCTTTCTCATATATGATATTGTTGTCTCAAAAACTTGCATAAGCACATTAGAGAATTCTTGGATTTCTGCATATAAAGACAGAATTCAAGACTAATGTACTAGTTACACATTGACGTACAGTACAACATACTTTTTAGTACATATTACATTGAGATGCTGTTCAATGACCTAATTTCAAAAATCCTAAATGTAACAGTTAGTGGACGTTTTATTTAAATAACAAATAAGAATATATGATTTAACCCCAAATTATACTGCATTCAGTACAAATGCGCATGTGTATATTCTACTATATATACAATTTTAATAATGGCCTATTGCTTACAGAAATAATAAAAATATTAAAATAAAACCTACAGGAAGACAATAAAGGACATTTAGTGATTCTAATACTGAAGTAGAAAGATAAATTCAAGGGAATCTTAGATTATTGTTACTGTTTCAAAACGGACATATTTTTGTTAAACGTCATCGATGTCTCTGTTTTTTACGTGTACCTGACTGACTTGTAATAACAGGCCTGTAAAAAAGAACATCCGTTTCAGCACCATTTGACAATCATACCTAATATGCAGTAGTTTAAAGTAAAATCATTATTCAGAATGCACGAGGTACGTAAAAATGACTAGGTTTTCTCTGCATTGACAGCTAACAGGACGAAAAAGAAAAGAAAAAACCACAGCGAGCGATACACTAAACATTATTATTTACCTTATTGAAATTCTATCGTCATTCCCCCAAAGGCTACTGCAGTACCTATCTGATTGTAACCATCACAAACCACCTGGAGGAGTTATTGTTATACAGCACGGGCTAATAAGAAAGCCATGAACCGCACGCGCTGCTGTTGAATACATTAACTCGCAGAAGCTTTGCTGTTGAATCGTGTGTAGTCAATAGTGCGAGGTACTGAAATCGGCACTACTTTAGTATTTCTTTAAACCACCAACATCAAGGTAAATCGTAACATTGACATAGTGGTCTCTTGGTCTGTTGAATATATCGGTGTTTTGTTATTATTTAGAAGTTATCTGTTGTATTTATGCTCTTCAGGAATACTACACGAAAAGTTATGAAACATGTGTTAATGTGGTAAAACAGCAGAGGGTTCTCATTAATACGTACAGTATATTAATATGCAGATTTGTTATATCACTGTTGATTTATTTCGCAGTATTTCGTAAAACGAAAGGGAGGATTTACAGTAGATATTAAACATAAATGCTAATTAAAAAAACTACAAATTACAATCATTTTCCCACAAAAACGCATAAGAAAGATCCATACATCTCAAAGTTTCATACAATTTAAACCGAGATAATCAGAACTGATTCCCAAAACGTTTTAAGAAATGCGAGAAAACCCACCGAATTTCAATATTGAAACACCTGGGGAAAAAAAACAGGTGTTCTGTATTCCAAATACTTTTGTCTACTGCAACACATTTATCAGCAACTAAGACATGAGTTGCCATGACGACTAAAAAACCTAATTCACGGTTTTATTATATACAGCTACACAAAATAATAATAAACGTGCTTAATCCTACCTTGCAATCTTCCATACACGTTTTCACTGAGTATCCATCCGATTCAAAGTATTTGTGAATCATAACCTCAAACTCTTCATATTTCTCCTGAGCATGCTGGTCATAGCGTTGGTATGCTTGAATGCATTGACTGCATCCAGCTAGATTGCCATCCATAACCACGTCTAGGCTACAATTCAAATTGTCTGGACTCGATAAACCATTAAACAAATCCAAAAGAGAATAGGAATTACAAAAAGAAAGATATAAATCGCTTAAATTCAAAACTGCCGATTCCGACCCCTCGTCCTCGGAGATGCTCCTGCAGACAGGTTCTGCATCTTCAAAAGTAAAGCAGTTTTTTGATAAACTATGCGGATGACAAGTTTCTAGTCGCCACAAAGGTTTGGTAGAATTCCCTATAAAAATAGCATTTTTGTCTTTTCTGAGGCTGTTGTAAGGTGAATGGAGGTTGGATGAAAGTATATGATTTGTAGATGGAAAGTAATCACCCATGTCTGTTAATGCTAACTTGTCCAGCCGCTTCTCTCTGGTCCGTGTCAATTTCGCCTCGGCGCAGAACCATAAGTGATCAGAGAGTAGGACGGTAAAAAACAAGAGAGATGCTAAGGACAGTCGCCATTTCTGGGCCCTTTCGGAATCAGTAAAAGGTTTTTCGTTCTCTCGGGGTGCAAACCAGATATTTAAGCCGTCATCTTGCTGCCGACACATCCAAGCACCCCTGGTCATATTTTGGGAAAGCGCAGCACTGGCCGACTCCACCGTAAAGGTTCCTTTACCACAATATTCATTGACTTGAGGATTTTCCTGTGTTATTTTCCTCTCATATGTTGGATTTGAAGTGGTCCTGTCTTACCTTAGCGATGATCTGCTATGCCTATCCAATTAGTGCACGCAAATGAATTAAGCCAGGCATTGTCATATAACAGTTATCCATGGCTCTCTTGAGAAAATCCCAGTTCTCTGTGACAACATGCCTCTCTCCTTCCTCTTGACGGTGCTGAGCTTTCTCCCTTTCCGTAGCCCAGCTCTTACAACCGTTTTGCTTTATCCGCCGATCATGAAGATGTGTTAAAAGCAGTTATCTTATTGTTTCAACCAGGTGTTTTTTTTCTTCGTATCTGGGCAGAATGCCTTGGGTCTTGTCTTTTGATAACCACAGTCATCTTGGTCCTGTGTTAAGTTGCCGCCATGTTCGTCTTGAAACACTTTTTGGGGGAGCTGGGTCATTTGCGTCATCTCCAGCTCTGAGATCTCTCCATCCTGGCGCAGTTGCAGGTCTGCTTACAGCCAATTGATACATATTGATACACATGAATAATTATCCCAGCATAATCTGAACATTGTAGTCAACAACAAACATGCTTTGATTTGCGCAACACGGTGCCTCTTAACAGGTATGATTTAAAGCAGCCCTCTACTTTCACATTTGCAAGCCAAAAAATATCCGAAAACTTTGTTTTTCAAAATTTTAAAGTAAATGTTAATATCCGGATTCATCTTTCAAAACAACAACATCCCAACGTTGTTATTGCTTTGTTACATTACTCAAAAATATTATTATTTTTTGTAATGTTCTAAAAACAATACTTGTTTCTTCTTTAAAATTAATTTATGATTAAGACGCAGACGATTGCTATTTTGGCACTCGGAATCGGCGATCGTATTTCAGTTCGGATTATGCATAGTTGCATAGTTATGCAATTACGTTATATAGAATAAACTACATTGCAATGATCTAAAGTAACGGAAACAAAAAAATAGGCTATTTCTTAGTCTGTTACTCTTCTCCTCAGCGCTCATCGATGAATTTTGCTGAGAATTTATTTGTATGCAGCAGACGATCTCTAGCTGTGACGAGAAAAGCTGAGAATGAAGGCTCTTAAATTCTACAGACATCTGGAGTTCTGTTTTCTCGGGTTTTTTTTTCATTCCGTTTATTGCAGGAAAGAATACCAAAAAACGTTGTGTGTATAGAATGTGTTCTTCTGTTCTAGTTAATTGTTATATTTGTTGTATTTTACTGCTAGTGATTTAGAAATTGACATGCGTATCATTATTTTCCATTCTTATACTGATTTTTCCAAGTATACAGTATTTGTATTGGTAGTGGGTTGGGGAAGCCGTCTTCCAAAAAAAAAACCACAAGTAACCATGCATGCAGCTTTAATTCTATTATGCATCGAAAATGCATGTTTGAAAACTTCACTACTGTCCCATTCCTGTAATTAACAGTGAATTTATAAACTATTTAAACAATGCAATCACGATATGCTCCCCGAGGGTGCTGTACAGAGGGCTTGTCACAGAGTGACAATTTTGTTACTGATAAAATGGAATACCTTGCGGACAGTAGTGACGTGTTTCGTTTTTATTATCCGTTGGGTCTTTTTAGAAAACTAGCTTTTACGTCCTTCAGGATATTTCATATGGTTCGATTGTTTATTGATTGTTTATTGGCCAAGGATACGTTTTGTAACGAAAGCGAAAACAATGTTACAAAACGTTAATAAGGCTAAGCTTATTTAGATCTAATTTAATAAGCAAATTGGAAAACGTTTAATTAAATATTATAAACTGGGTTCCAGCCTTCTTATACAGACCTCTTGATATCCCAGATGAGTATTTTTTTCTCCAAATGTCAGAGCTATGTTAAAAAGTCTGACATAAATATAAACTAGCATTGCTCTTGATGTGATCTTGATCTCATGTTATTTGAAGATAGCATTTTTATTATGCTATTCGTCTATTGTATAATTTTTCAGGACGCTTAGAATGTGTGCTCTGCCTTCACTGTATTTCACCTCATTCCTGGAGTTAACACAACATATGATATGGAAAACGTTATGTTTATTAAAGCCCAGGATTGATGACTGTCTCAGTTATATCATTGCTAATTTCATAGTTTGCAATTGTGTTTTCACTCTCCTTTTTTAGTGTGATGTTTTTTTTTTTGTTTGCAACATTGTCCACCTTGCAAAACCTTTTCCCACTAGTGCCTAAGCTATCAGTATCAACACTGTGCCCTCTGGGTAGGACAATATAATGAGATATGAGTTCTGAAACATCCTGTCCAAACAGATCTGAGCCTCTGGAAGACTTGTTACGACACTTGCTTGGGGGACAGCTACTGCTTTCAAGATGTACAGTATGCTGAAAGGCAGCTGATCTTTTTCAGGAAAAATAAAACATATTTTCTGATACAGGCCTAGAAAACAGCTTCATCAAACAGCTCTGATGTGTCTCATGTATTCATTTTTAAATGAATACACCACAAACATAAAGTAAGGAAAAATAAACAAATATTTGTAAACAAATACAAATATATCAACCATTCATTAAAAGACTCACTTTATAATTGCACTTTATTGTTGTGTCTCTAATGTGTTCTGATTTATTTTCATTAATTGTCTTCTACTCCAAATGTTTCAAGTATAGATGCTCTACATGCACTGCAAGAAGCATATGTGATACGTATTTATACATATAACTGTATACAGCCACACAGTTTCACAGCAGTGAAAGATGAATTTGTAAAATCACATATAAAAGTATATTCCTAAAACCTTACAGTATGAGTCAAGTCCAATACGCCATTAGCGTTTGGTGGAAAATCAGATCTCTGGAGCACAGTAAATGAGTGTAATCACGCTTTATTATTAACATTCCTTTCATTTTTTTTTTCCTACCAACAACTTCCACCTTTGTTTCACCTCTCATTGCCATGGCAACTAGAACTCAAGCAGCCCTGTTATTTGATGGTAGGGACAGACAGAGACGCTGCAAAAGTCTGAACTTGCTGGTTGGGAACTGGTTCCATCAGTGCTTTAGTGGTCCTGCTGGAGGAAAATCCCTCCGCATTGCAGTTGGAGTTGCCCAGAGGATGTAACCCCATGAATCCTAATTAGAGTGCAAAGCAGACAGATAGCAGGCAGCATTTTGCTACTGCAGGCTTTTCAAGGCAGCATCCTACATGACATTGTCTTTGGCATCAGATGTGAGAAAATTAGCACAGCTGTTGCAGCAGGCCTGAAGTCGAGGTGATAAAGAGAAATTCCATAAATGTGCAAAGTTTCTAAAGTCATGTGTCTTCTGCTAATTTCTAGTCTATTATAGCTCTGCTGCTACAGTATATTATTTAGTCAAAAACAAATGTAATAATAATATTGCTTTATTAGCCCTATACAATTTCTTGTATTAGGAATTTGTCTTTTCACATACCCCAGCTTGCTCTCCATGGGACACAGACAGGGAGAGAATCTTGGGGTCAGAGCACAGGGTCAACCATTGTACAGCACCCCTGGAGCAGTTGGGGTTAAGGGCCTTGCTCAGGGGCCAACAGAGTAGGATTTCTCTGCCAGATGTGGAATTTGAACCAGCAACCTTCCAGTCACAGGCACAGATCCTTAGCCACAGAGCCACTGCTTCACCCTATGAATGAAATGAATCTGATTTAGAGTGGATTTTAGAGTGATATAGAGTGATTTATGGAAATATCGGCTTCAATGCCCTGAAAAAACTACAAAATGGAAAATTAAGATGTTTAAGGAAGGGCAAGTAATTACATTGCTCAAAGTAGAACCATTAATAAAAGTGCTGTATAACATATTAGGGATTAGAAAAAAAGATGGGGCATGAATTTAGGTAAATCTACATGGATGAGATATTTTTAGGAAATATATAAAGAGGAAGCCAAATATATAAAAAGCACTTACTCTTATATTATAGGTTCAATTATGGTTTTGACAAAATCTACAAAGTTTCAATTACATCTGTGCAGCAGTTGTTAAAAGAATCTTTTGAAAGGGTTCCTGATTACACAGCTCCAGCTGCCATCTTGTTCGATGTAGGACGCAGTTATACCTAATTTGGCACAATTGAACCATATTGAGTAGGTTATTAAATAAAATGAAAATGTCCACAGTATCGCATTTGTCAAAGAAAAAAAGTAATAGGTTAACACAGGTAAAAAAAAATGCAGTGATTTAGCATACACAATAAGTTAGGCAAAAATGAAAAATAAGTTATCTTTGAGAAGAAAAAAAAATGTGAAGTGAAAAAAACAACTAAGCCTAAGAAAAACAAATCCAGATATGTTCCAACTTCACTGATTCTCTGATATATGTCTTTGAGGCTTTTTGGTACCTAGAAAATAAACCTGAAGAATTATTACTTAAGTAATTTTAAAAGGCCGGTTTTACTAATCTGCTAAATGGACTGTATCTATTTATAGTAACTCTAATATATTTTTTGTGAACAATTGTAATGGTTTGTAGTATACCATATACACTGATGCTCAATGACAAGGCAAGAAAAAATATTATTATCAATCCCTCATTAAGGACACACTTGGCTGTATTAACATTTAAATGGTAAAAAGGTCTGTTTATTGTTTGATCAATATTTGTTTTTGTATATAATGTGGTCATCTTACTAGATCTTAAAAATATCAGTCAATTTTAACAAACAGTAATAAACCACAAGTTAAAATCTTCAGTTTTTCTAGTGTTTATATTAGTTTGTAATCAAAATCTAAGTTATGTAAATGAACATTTGTTTTTTTTTATATTTTAATGCTTTCACACATCAAACAAATGTAAATGATGCATCAACATTAACATATACTTTCATAAGTACTGTAGATTATTCATAAATAGCTTGCACAATGTCAGTGCTTCCCATTTTGTATACAGTGTATGGCTTATGTTTTTGCTACTTACTGTATACTGTATGTAATATTCTATGCTTGTCTACATCGAATATGATCTGCCAGGTGATTGTCCAGTCTTCAATTCTGTCTTAATATTTTTTAATTTCCTCTAAATAATTTTGTGTCCTCCTATATTGGTATTATCTGTAAACATCAAAACGTTCATGCCAGTATCTATCCCATTGATAGAAATTAGAATGAGAGGTGATGCTTATACAGATTTCTGTGATACTCCACTTGTGCCATCACACCAACTGGAGCCTTCACCCATTATCCTACTTAATTCTTTTATTATCACAGATGGGAAATTTTCTTTGTAAGCAAGTAAAAAACATGGCTCAATAGCTCAATAGCTCATATTGCTCAATAACAATAACACAACATTGAATGATTAAAAAATAGGAAACATACATTACAAGAATGATTAAAAATAAATGTATACAGTATATAAAGTAAAATACTACAATAAATTCTCTAAATCAAGTAGGTTAATTGCCATGGGAATAAAGGATACCTTAGTTCTAGTGCTCTTGAACCTGGCTAATTTCAATCTACAGTATAACCTGATGGAAGGAAGTCAAATTCACTGTGTAAGGGGTGGTCCTGACAGTCAGTGGTTATAATGGCCTTCTGCACTATTTGTTTGACATAGATGTCCAAAAGCTGTAGCTGTTGTGCACCAATACTTTTGCTGGCTATCTTTACTATTCAGCTCAGTTTTTTTAATGTGTGTATTAATGTTACCAAACCAGGCTACCGGAAAAAATGTTAGGACGGATTAAATT